CCTCCTTTCTTTCCTCCTTTCTTTCCTTCTTTCTTTCCTTCTTTCTTTCCTTCTTCCTTCCTTTCTTCCTTCCTTCTTTTTCTTTTCTTTTCTTTTCTTTTCTTTTCTTCTCTTTTCTTTTCTTTCTTTCTTTCTTTTTTAAGGGATGAGCCTGATAACCTCAGCGAGGATTTAAGGAGCTGCTGGGACAATTCCCAAAAGTTATCACAGAAGTTACACTCTGTACAGAGATACTGTTTTAGCTAATGGCTCCAGGGGCAGCAGGCTCAGTTTTCTTAGACAGGTAATTTTGGAAGGTGACACCGTGTTCGTAATAAATTGCATCAGATCCCATCTGTCCGTTACTTGTTTTAAGAAATAAAGCACACAATGTACTTGAAAATATGTCATCTGTTGAGAAGGCCAGTGGTAGACCTGAAAGGGAGGTTTTTGAATATTTAATTGAAACTCTTTGATTTACAGATGAGAAAACTAGTCATTTAACAGTCTTGCCTAAGGTCAAATGGTTTGTTCCCCGGACAGACAGAAAGCTCAAGTCTCATTCATGGTTTATAGTGGTTGTTCCTCTTCGCTCTTCCTTCTTGGCGCCTGCCATCCTCCTATCCCGTCCCCTACCTCAATTTCATAAGGATCCAGATCTGGAATCTGGAAATGGAAACGCTGAACAAGTGTGACTTAAGGGAATGACCAATCATTAAATTGTCTTAAGTGCAAGATGAGTGAGGCTTGCGTCTAGAACACTTAAGATCCAAGAAGGAAGATTTTCTCTCTGTTTTGTGGACCACCGTTTTCCCAGCGCCTAGAACCGTGCCTGGTACTTAGTAGGCCCTAATAATTGTTAAATTAAGAAATGAATGAATGAATCTTGGGTATGTCAGATTGTCACGTCCTTACTTTTTCTTTACCACTTCTTTTCAGTTGCACTAATAAAATGTGCAGATTTAGATTCTAAAGAAAAGAAATCATGTACAAAGCGTCTAGTATGGTGCCTGATTCATTGTGGGCAATTAAAAAATGTCACTTCATTTTCTCTTTCTTCCTTCCCAAGTGTAGGGTACTGGGGGTAAGGGGTTATGTGCCACAGTGTTTATGTGCCTGGACATAAAGTGAAGTGGGTAGCTAACAGGCTAGTGAAAAAGGGCTGTCGGCGCCTTTTCCATCCGCATCAGAAATTTCAGTGTCCCGAGAAAATGCACAGCTATTTTACCCAGAGACGCTGTTCGCGTTTGTTGATCGATTCTGGGCTGCAGTCAACTCCTTTAATACAACTTTTTATAAGCATCAGCTACACTGCAGCGGGAGGAGGGGCAGTGATAGGAAAAGCAAGGAAATTCCCTCCTCTCCCCAAATAAAGGAAGCCCTCGGTGGCAGGGGCTTCGTTTTGTGGGTCTAACGGGTCCTCGGTCTGGGGCGGTCCTGGCCCCTCCAGCCCCGCCTCCTCATCCCAGGCGGCAGCCGCCAAGGTTCAAGTTCAGCCCTCGGCCGCGCGCTCCCAGCTCCCCAGCCGCTGGCGCGTCTCAAGGGCTCCCGCTTGAAGGATTGGAGGGCTCAGAGGTCATTCCGGTGCCGGGTCACTCGGCCACGCGTTGTGCTACCACGTGGGAGAAAAGTTTCCAACTCTGCCGTGGGGCCTCCCAGTGCCCCCCAGCGGAGCAGAGGCCCGCGGTTTGGCACTCGCTCTCTTTTCTGTCGCCTGAGGTCGCGCCCCCACTCCCGGGAAGCCCCCCCTTATAACCCTTCTCTGAAACCCCTCCTTTCCTCGCTGCGTAGGTTGTCCAGGGAAAATATCCTGGGGGCCTCAGGAGAAGGCGGCCCGGGCAGCTCCAGCGGACCTGGGGTTGGGGGGCCAAGGACAAGTGTACTGAGGAGGGTGCGGGGGACGCGGAGCGGGTCGCGCGGAGCAGACGGACAGCAGTCCGCCCTCATCCCGGGTATGACTGGCGGAATCATTCCGCAGCTTCCACACCCTCACGCGCCAACTCTGGCGGGCCGCAGCCGACCCCACGCGGGCGGCCCCCACCACGCCCCCGCTCCCCC